GGGGGGGGGGGGGAATCTCTGCGTGCACATTATTGCATTACATATAACAGTTGGCAATATCGTGTCATGATTATTTTCTTTCTTTGACACCCATTGAGCCTGTATGTTTTAAAATAGATTTTTTTTAAGATATGCAATATCCGGAATTTAAAGTTTCGAATACTGCGTGGTCAGATTATTTCTTAAACGACACATGTATATATCTTAAGTTGCATCTTACTTATAAAAACAAAAAATCTGCGAAATCTTGATATTTAGGAGTGTAGCCTTGCTTTTAGATTGTGAAAACGGAATGTCATTGGAAAAAACTTGAAAATTGGCAAAAACCGAAACTTTTTAAAAAGTTTAAGTTGTTGATTTTGCATATTTAAACCCTGACAATTCTTTTTATTACACCTAGAATGTCGCATCTCAAAATTTTCAGCCCACCACCCCCCAACAAAAACACCATATATGTTGCGCCCCTCTATAGCAATGGATGTAAATTTGTTGTATTGTTTTATAATTTGAGTTTTTGTTTAAATAACCTGCACGTAAAAGTGCTTCTAAATTTTTTTTTGAATGAAAGTTGAAGCTTAATACTTTTTAAAATCCTTTAAATAAATCCGTTGTTAAATCTTCAGATAAATTTAGGGATACTCAATTCCCTTAGAAATAGATTTAAAGTTTAATTTATTCACTCAGTCATAATCCGTATTAAAATTAGGATTTAAGGTGCCGTAGGTAATTATTTATACATATGGGGGGGGGGGGGCGAAATTAATCTTATCTGAGAAGGGTTAAAACTTAAATTTTCTCAAGGGGCGGACAAACAAACTAAGACATCATGCATTAAACCTTATACAAAAAATTAATCGACCAAACTAATTGAAACAAAACTAAGATTTTTGCTGTAGGGAACTTAAAATAAAACCATCATTACTTCTGAATTTGACACAAATCTTTTTTTTGTCCCATGGCTAGAATTTCGACTTTAAAAACTTCAGCCTTGAAAAAGGAAAACAAACAAATTGAAATATCTCCTAGCTTTTAAAAGTAAAGTATGGAAAGTACGAAAAGTAGAGAAAGGATGGGAAGTATGGAACGGAATCTAAATATTATTTAAGATCAGTTTGGGAGATAAGGAGGAGGGGGGGGGGTAAGATATTCATAATCTATAATCTGTATGCCTGAAGGCTCTCTGCTAACTAATCAATAATATAAAATTAATTATTTCTACATTGATAAATTTATTGATATGAGGTAGAGTACAATATATTGAATATTCTGCAGGACTCCTGGAGTGACTAGAATCTGATAAGGTCAGGAGATGCATTCCTGTCAGATTGTATTGAGGAGTATACCACGATTCCGGAGTGATTCAGCCACTACCCGGAGACAAAATGGTAGTACTTCAAAGCATACCCGGAGAAATGTAGGACTTAATCCGAAAATAACAAGTTTTTCGTGGATTTTTTTTATGTTCACAGCCAATTCACACTATTCACAGCTCTGCTAGGATTTTAAAGAAACATCCTACATTCGAATAAAGTTCAAAAGCAGAATTAAACTTGGAACCAGCAGGATCGATGAATGTGATGTGAGACGAGATTCTCCAGAAATCAACGAGATTTGACGGTCAACTCGTAGTACAACCTCCTCCTCTATCCTCAGCATGTGCTCGGCTATGGTGGTAACTGCCTCGTTGGCTCCAAGGCTGTTCTCTGCGACACATGTATAGTCTCCAGATCTATCTTTACAGTCGTGGAGTTGAATAGCGTGAAGGTACTCCAGGTTCCACATTGTAACATCTACTCCAGCCTGGAGGAGTCGACCCTGATGGAACCATTTAACAGAAGAACGAGGGGAGGAGTAGACAAGGCACTGGATCTGAATACTGCAGGACGGATCCATTTCTATTTCAGCTGGGAGTACTTCAACCACGGGGGCATGGAGTACATGTACTGTGAAGTTTTGTATATTTACTTCTCCTACTCCGTTGGAGGCATGGCACTGATATAATCCTCCGTTTTGCCAGGTTGTACTTTTCAGAGGGAGGTCAGCCTCTCCTTGACCGGAGGCTAGCACTTTTCCCTCCCGAACCCAGGATATTTCTGGGGCTGGAACTCCAGACCCAGAGCAGGTGAGGAGGACAGAGGTTCCAGTTTTAACAGTTATCACCTCGCCACCCGGTATTATTTTAGCTTTAGCCGGTTGAAGAACGACCAAAGACTTCTTGCTGACGACCAGCTCTCCGGTATCTAGTTCAGCTTGACAACTGTAATCTCCAGCATCTCCAGGTTGAACACTCTCTACAACCAGGTTTACTCCTTCAATACTTAGCCGAGTATCCTGACGGACCCGGAGAGATCCTGCAAACAGTATCCGTCGTCCTTGCTTCCAAACAATCACTATATGTGGTTCTACAATTAGATCACAGGGTATCTCAACAGGAGTGCCCTGCTCACCCTTTAGCACCTCTATAGCCTGTTCATTCTCCAATGTTCTCCCTGTTGTTCCAGAAATAAGAATCAAGACTACTAAACTTGTAGTAAACATTGTTTAGATTAATATTTAACGTCAGCCACTGACAAAGGTTTGAATTCAACTGAACTCTCCGTCAAATTTTCTCCTATTTGTAAGCTCGGTGCCGGGGTCCAATAGGAGAGGTGAAATATACCGGCCCGTCCCGCCCGGTCGGACATTCCCATCCAGTTCTCTCATCCAGCGATTAGTTATCGGTAGCAATACAGAATAATGAAAGGGTCCTTATCTAAATACAATCTTCCGACTTCACCGTCATTTGCAATTCAGCCAGAATTTGAGAAATGTCCGATGTTAAGATTAACATCGGCAGATGAGAATATGCCTGGGCCTGAACATATCTTGGTGTAGGAAAAAATTGACGTGGTTTACGCCCCCTCCATTAGCTTAGACTCAAGTTTAGAATATTACAGTTAGCAGACACTATCTTACAGGGTTTATGGCAGGGTTATTAAACTGAAAAAATCCTCTAAACAGGATGCACTAGAAAAATTTATGATGAAATGAAATGTTTTCCAAATATATTGCCAACTTATTAAATCACTCAAACGTGCGCATTTTTACAGAAAAATGGAAAGAAAAAAGTTGCAAAAAGATGATGAAACCCTGATGGGCTTAAAATGTATTTTGGTCTTATCCGTAGCAACTTGTCATTGGAATGTTATTCCTCTCAATCTATCATCATAAAAAAACATTATATGCTCTAAAAAAGTTGTTAAATGTGAGATTTGGTTTTCTAACTGATAAGATAAAGTCGCTTAAACTCTAAACACCGCTTGATAAAGTAGTGAAGTTAAGACAATGTAGGATTAAATTTCAGTTTCTGTTTCATTACATCTTTCAACTCTGGAGTTTTAGTTTAAACTTTGGGATCAGGTTTTTTTCTGTTTGTAATGAATATCTTCTTTTAGTAGATATCAGGTTTCAAGTTTTATGTCTTAGGTCTTAGGGCACTGCAAACTAAGATGTGCACGCTTTCACGCCGGTTGTATCTGGGTTGTGTTTTGGTTGTCATGGGTTGTGTTTTGGTTGTATCTGGGTTTTGTTTTGGTTGTATCTGGGTTGTGTTTTGGTTGTATCTGGGTTGCGTTTTGGTTGTATCTGGGTTGTGTTTTGGTTGTATCTGGGTTGTGTTTGGTTGTATCTGGGTTGTGTTTGGTTGTATCTGGGTTGTGTTTGGTTGTATCTGAGTTGTGTTTTGGTTGTATCTGGGTTGTGTCTGTGTTGTATCTGGGTTGTGTTTTGGTTGTATCTGGGTTGTGTTTTGGTTGTATCTGGGTTGTGTTTTGGTTGTATCTGGGTTGTGTTTGGTTGTATCTGGGTTGTGTTTGGTTGTATCTGGGTTGTGTTTTGGTTGTATCTGGGTTGTGTTTTGGTTGTATCTGGGTTGTGTTTGGTTGTATCTGGGTTGTGTTTTGGTTTTATCTGGTTTTTGTTTGGTTGTATCTGGGTTGTGTTTGGTTGTATCTGGGTTGTGTTTTGGTTGTATCTGGGTTGTGCTTTGGTTGTATATGGGGTGTATCCAGGTTATATCTATATTGTGTCTAGGTTGTATCAAGGTTGTATGTGGGTTGTATCTTGGTTTTTCTCTGGCTTGTATCTGGGTTGTGTTTAGGTTGTATCTGGGTTTCATCTAGGTTGTGTCTAGGCTGTAGCTGTGTTGTGTCTAGGCTGCATCTGTGTTGTACCTGGATTATATCTGGGTTATATCTGGGTTGTGTCTAGGTTGTATCTGAGTTGTGTCTAGGTTGTATCTGAGTTGTATCTAGGTTGTGTCTAGGTTGTATCTGGGTTGTATCTAGGTTGGATCTGGGTTGTATCTAGGTTGTATCCAGATTGTGTCTAGGTTTATCTGGGTTGTGCCTAGGCTGTGTCTGGGTTTTGCCTAGGCTGTATCTGAGTTGTGCCTAGGCTGTATCTGGGTTGTGTCAAGGTTATATCTGTGGTTTGTCTATGTTTTGCCTAGGCTGTATCTAGGACGTATTAAGCTATGTCTAAGTTGTGTCTATATCTAGGTTCTAGATAGAACTAAATGGGATTCTGTTTAGTTACTTATGTCTTATGATTTTATCTTCATGATATTGGTTTGTATCTTGCATCTAGTGGTTCCTGGAACCCAAACGTGGAGATTTTACTCCGAACCGAGGCCTACAATCTTTTAACCCCCCCTCCCTTCTCCTCCTCCTCCATTCGTCTTCAATTTTATTTCCTAGTTAACACTATTTTTACACTAAAGCAGAAGTAGTTGTACTACGCGTACGTTAAACTACTTATGAGTTTAATACAAGTCTACGTAACTTTTTATGGAATCTAGTCCTAGAACGTTGCTTTATAAAATTGGATGGGATCAGGAAAATGTGATAAAAAACTACTCTTCCACTCTTTGAATATTCAGTAATGCATCCCCCCTTTCCCCCCACACTCCCTAACCCCTGTAAAGGTTCGTTACTGCATTGTGTTTGCTAAAGCCATGTAGCAATTCTTAGAGACGTGTTCTGTGCATGCTAGGGGGGTTTTCAACACCTTTGAGTTTCTAGAACTTTAACTTTCAACACTTTTTGTAGAGGAGAGATACAACAAACCTCTATTGAGTCGGGCTCCCTGCAGTTTCAAACCAATCTAGGGTTGGCAAAACAAACCTTAAACCGATGTTCTTAGATCGCGTGTGTCCATTGAAATATATTTTAACAGAGATATTATTTTAGACAGTTCTAACAGTTTTTGGGTCTCCTGGATTAGTTTCTATAGATATCCTGCTGGGCTAGGATTGACAATATCAAACTCATCTTGCAAAACGGTTTTAAGAGACCAAACTTTTATCAATATTAAAGAACAAAATTTATTTGTTATTAACCCTTTTTTTGTTGCTGATAAATATTTAAGTTTGGTCGGTTGGTAATAAAGGTTTCTTTCCTCTTCTTATGTTCACTCACTGATCACAATGGTTAAGTCTATAGAAGATAGAGAACGTTTGTTTTCTTGTTAAAAAAGCTTCTGAGTAACCCCCCCCCCCCTCCCAGACACAGTGGTATTATCCTGGCAGTAAACTAGAAACCAAAAATAGAACTAACCACAATAGTTTAGTAGCCGACCAAATACTTAACATTGTACTTAACCCCCCCCCCCTCCCTCCCTCCCTCCCTCTCAGTTCCATGATGGGGGTTCTTTACAGATTCATTGGGTTTCCTTCATTCATAAACACACAAAGCGTATTTGTTGATGAATTTACCCTGAATAAATGAATCTCAACCCTGAATAAATAGAAAATATTTCAACAAATAAACACCGAGCTGCTACCGCCATACCCATTTTTTTATTGTGTGTCTGCACGCTCACCCTTAATTTTATTATGCATAGTTTATTCTGTACATCTCAAGTTTGATTTGAATTTTTTATAATTCAATGTTGTCGTTTTTTTGCAAATGTCAGCGTGTGGGTCGACTTTTATAGGGAAAGGAGCTAAACTCCTAATTTACGACCAGTTGCGGGTAAACGCCGGGAGTAACTTTGAGCAACCTATGAGACTCAATTTTTTATTTCGTATCCGCAAATGCTCTGAGGTCTCACTCTTAATTTTATTATGCATAGATTATAATTCTGTTCATTCCATAAAAGGCAAACTTGTAGATTATATAATTGAAAATATTTTTTTTTTAAATGTACAAAATTGTCAAATAGATTCTAGTACAACAGATAGCAACTGTTCACTCTCAGTACTGCTGTATTCTGACGTCACAAGTGTCAACTCAGTTTGCGTGTCCGACAAAATTATTAATAATAGTGATAATTTTAGAATACAATGCTTATTTTACAGTAAAATAAGTGAAATTTTATGTGTTCTTTATTTTCTGTTTTTACACTTCTCTATTTAATCTTGGAAAACATGTCAACTAATATGGGAAAAGTTCATTTTCCTTGTGACGTCGTGTATAATTGGTCTATTTCTCTGTTGCCACGTATTGTACTTGATAATCTATTTGAATAATGTTTCTAAAAATTGTGTTATTTCAGTTTGCAACTGCAATTTTTGCAAAATGGAGACGTTAATGTAATAAATATGCGCGCCTGAATGATTTTTCTGAACGTTTTATTAATGATTTGCTTCTTTTAAGCTGATATATTCTGTCAGAGAAAACTTTTTAATAGTCTTCTAAAAGTAAACGTGTAGACAAAAACATATTTTAAAACCCAAACTCTAAAAGTAAACGTGTAGACAAAAACATATTTTAAAACCCAAACTTAACCGGAATAAAATCTAAAATAAGAAAAACTTCTTAACACCAATTTTAATAATCTCCCCGTTATGTTTGCATAGATTTATAATTTTAAATTAAAAAATTCTTCAGACAATTAATTATCTTTCTTCTTATAGATTTAAATTAATTAGTAAATTGGACTAATTTAACTTGAAATGTAGCTTGTAGATGATAAATGTATCTCAAGTCACGTGGCTTACAATGATTTATATCCACTGACCATCTTTAATTTATTGGAAATATTGCTTTAATTAATCATTCTGAAACAATTTTGTCTTTGAACTTTTCAAGGCAATGCACTTTTCAAAGATATTCAGATATGGATCTTCAGGGGGGGGGAGGGCCTTAAAAATGTCAAATGTTTTATGAATTTTCTATAATATAATTTGGCATGTCTTAGCAGATTCATTTATAAACTTTGGGGTTTCTTTTAGTTTTGATGATGCGCAAAGGAATTGAGTCTTTGCCACAAACTCTGATTTTCAAACAAATAATCAATTGATCAAATAATCTCAGTTTGAAAGATCAACGGTTTGCACCATCAGGTTGCAAAGATATATCCACAGATGAAGAAAACTGAATTCCTGTGCAGCCTTTTTATTTAAAAAATAGCAAAGTATCCTACGTATAGTTTTCTAGACAAAATTTCGTTTTTAAGCTACCACGGGCCCACAGCCCAACTTAAAGTTAGAAGAGTATAGATAAAATTGTTAATTTACCCGCTGTTATTCTCAAGACAAACACTAAAATCCAATTTAACCGAACAATATCGGCCTTAAACCTACAAAGAAGATTTTATGCAGGAAACTAACTAATTGAAATACTTTTAATTACTTTCAATGGTTAGTTGGCCAGTTAGAAAGATAGACAAAATACAGGGGTGTCGTGTAATACTTATGAAAGTAAAGATGGGAGTGACGGGACCCTGAAAAGAATTTTGAATTTGAAGAAACTTTGAACCCTGAAATACGACAAATAGTCTAAATAGAGCCAAACTTTAATAAAAATAATAAAAAATAAAGTGGAACATGAAACAGCCCTGTTTTTCTCTCTTATCTAGATGGATGGATGGTAAGGATGAAAGACAAATTGTTCGTAAGCCACCAATTATACAAAGTTAAGTTTTCACCTTCAGGCTATTGGGTAAAAACACTAGAGCCGGGAGTTGAAGAGGATAGAAACCCAGCTTAAATTCAATATTTTGTACTTAAGTAGAGTAATTAATGATCTCGAGGTCGAAAACGATGCTTCTTGCTCAGACCTTGCGCCGGAAAATCTGGGATAATTATTGTGCCAACACAACTCAAAAAAGTGTGTTCTTTGAATCTAACCAATGTAAGGTGCAAATTTAATCAAGTCCTAAATATTACATGTTTTGATTTCTGATATTACCTTTTCACAACCTAATCTTTACTTCATTTCAATTAATCTTGACTTGAATTAAACCTTGACTTCTTCTCAAACTTTATGTTGATTTTATCATATCTTGACTTAATATTAAACCTTATTTTGGCTGATCATCAAAAAATTAATCTTGACTTAATCTTAACCCTGACTTCATATAATTCTTAACATTTATTTCACTAATAATGTTATCCTGACTTCATTTTTAACTTAATCTTGACTTCATATAAATCTAATCTTAACTTCGCTTTAAACCTTAGCCTGACTTCATCTTTAGTTTACTCTTCACTTCACTTCAAACCTTTTCCTGACTTCATCCGTAGTTCATTCTTGACACATAAATCTAATCTTAACAATTCCCTTCAAATCTTATCCTGACTTCATCTCAAAATTTATCTTGACTTCACATAAATCTTACCCTTGACTTCACTTCAAATCTTATCTGACTTTATCTATAACTTAATCCTAACTTCAAATAAGTCTTAACCTTGACTTCACTACAAACCTTATCCTCGACTGTATCCTTAATTTTAAACTTTTATCTTCACTGGATCACCCAATTTTATTATTTTTCAGGTATGGGTCTTTTCTTTCTAAAATAAAGGAATTGAGTCTTTGCCACAAACTCTGCTTTTTAAAACACTATCTCTTTGGATTCCAATGTCGTAGACCTTAGATATTCCAAACTATGAATTCTGTTGGATCAAATAATGTAAGTTTGAAATATCTAAGATTTGCGACATTGGGTTCCAAAGATATAGGGATTTTAAATTCAGAGTATGTGAGTTTGTGGCAAGGACTCGATTCCAATTTGTAATAAATTCAAGTAACGTTCGTAAATTGTGAAAAAGTATTCCTAAACTGCATTAATTTGAAGTTATTCCGAAGAAATTATAAGAATTATAATGAAATATCCATTAAATCTGTTTATTCAATGAATGCTCAGATCACTGATATATGAGGTATAAGATAATAAATGAGCTACTGCATGAATGGCCTAGTTTATTGTTTGATTATGATTAGGAAAGGGTGTATTTGTTTACTTGTTAACTGACTAAATAATTAGCACTGGACTAAGCCAGGGGTCAATACAACTCGTTAAATGCTTACTGTTTCCCTTCTACTGGCGTGAATATTAAATTTAGAAAAAGAAAATGAGAAGAAATAAACATGCACAGTTAACAAATACTTGGGAAGAAGATTTGCGTTTATTATTTAATACAAAAATGACATCATTAAAATTGTCCAGATTTTTCTGACTTTAACAACCAGCAAAACTTAGCAATGTTACAGCGATATATGTTATTAGTTCTAAAATCCATATTCTTGCCCCCCCTCCCCCCTATTTTCCCCCCAAAATTAAGACCAAAAAACAGGGTGACATAGCCCACGCAAACTTACAGATAACATGTTTTGGATCTTTGTTGTACTAAAAAGATCAAAAGCTAGGTCCCCCCTTGATTAAAAAAAAATATTCAAAGCCCTTTTAAAGCATTTCTGTTTCTGTTTAACATGAAATTTATTGAATTTTTTTTTTGTGCAAATCAGTTTTTCTTCCCTCTTCCTCTTTTTCCTTTTCCTTTCTTCCCAAAACTAGCAACTAAAAAAATCACTCTTCATCCTTTTTTTCTTTTTTTCCTTTCCTCTTCCCCCTTTTCCCTTTCCCCTTCCCTTCCCTTTCCCTTCCCTTTTCCCTTCCCTTTCCACTTCTTGTTTCCCTTCCATTTTTCCCTTCTTTCTTCCCCTTCCCTTTCCCGACTTTTTCTTCTTCA